TGTCTGTTGTACTAATGCATAAACCTACGTATACCAATCCATGAACATCATGGAGAGGATGTGAGATGGAAGATGAGAATCTGTCATTCCCTTAATGGGTCTCATCCCCCTTCTTCTCATAGTGTAGTCATATTATCTTGCTTGGAGTAATTCTAGTGCTAAACATATATTTCTGTTTAAGATTAACTTTAAACACAAGCCCATCACTTGGTCGTTAACTGAAGAATCAGTGACCCATTTTAATGCCAGAGGAAAAACTGACTAATCAACTTCGTGAGAGATAGGACAACATTGTATTTTATGGGTGTTTTCAAGGGTTTCAAGAGATAATTTTGACTAAATATGATTTCACCTTATGTACTGACTAGACTTTATTCTCTTTGTAGGGTGAGCCTTTATTGTCTCTGTGTATTTACATATCTTTCTTTTGTTAGATTAGCATACTCTGAGGCCAGGTCTTTGTCATGTTCATTTCAGTTAGGGTTTTGTGGAGGATGCTCTGAATCGGCTCACTCAATGGAGCAATATATCATCTATCATGATATCTCATTTAATAAGGATTCAGTAAATGCTAGTTGAATATATGAATGAACTAACAAAGGAACAGGGGAATTGGGTGATCTTATTGAAGAGCAGAAGATATAGACTCTTTTTTTCCTGGAGAGACGATCATGGACTGATGGAGTGTCAAACATGGAAGGCACCTTAGAATTATTTGTTAAAACCCCTTTATATGGTAAATCTCAGGAAAGCAAAGTAATTTGCCCAAGATTTCTTCCATTTATTCATTCCGCTTAACCTTTTCTAGATAGATTCTAGTTTAGCCAAATCCCTTTTAAAGTACAGTAACTAAACTGGATATAATATTCTAGTATTACTACTGTGGTCTTTGTGGACAGATTTTCTGTTTAGCATTTGCATGTTACACTAATTTTAACTTATTTCAGTATTTCATTGACTCTTCATCATAGAGAAAAATGAATGACTGTATACTTGTTCCTTCAAGGGCAGAAACAATGTTTTGTTCATCTTGCATCCTCTTTGCTTAGGACAATAATTGACACTTGGGCATTCAAAAGTTTTGTTGTTAAAATAAGTTAACTGGGAGAAGCTTTGAATCAGTTATTTGCCATTTTTATAAACTTAGAATCACAGTGCTATTAAGGACCTTCAGAGGTCTACTCCAACTCATGGCTTTTTATATAGAAAAATGCTTATTTACCCTTGGCAAAGACTCCATCCCATTTTAATTCCATGGAAATAAATTCTTAAGTTTAAAAGTTATAGATATTTTAACAAGTCATATAGCTACATTTCTTTTTTTATATAGGAATATTTCATGTTATTTTATCATAAACATGATTAATTATGGTTTTCTTTTTGTCTTTCTTTTTTTGTAAAGTACTTCTTTTTGACCAATTCTTCTCCTCACTTTCATATGTGTACATCCTTCAGCTTTTCTTCCTCAGAATGGATATACTCTGTCTCTTTCCCCACTTAACTCGGTTCAGAATTCCACTATTTTCGTGAGTGCCTATGAATAACAGGAACCTAAATCACATGCGAAACTGTAGTTACAAGGGAGTCTGGGTAATATAGTTTTTGGTTTTCCAGACTTTGCATTTCAGGAGGTTGGAATGGATCCCAAGTGAGCCACTCCACAGGATCTGCTGCAAGCCCTACTGAGATCATGTGTCAACCCTAAGTTTAAAGCAGTTTCATAGTCATAAATCTGGAGTTCTGGGGCCAGCCCCACGGCCTAGTGGTTACGTTTGTGTGCTCCGCTTTGGCGGCCCAGGGTTTCGCTGGTTCGGACCTTGGGCGCCAACATGGCACTGCTCATCAGGCCATGCTGAGGCGGTGTTCCACATAGCTCAACCAGAGGGACCTACAACTAGAATATACAGCTATGTACTGGGGACCTTTGGGGAAAAGAAAAAAAAAAAAGATTGGCAACAGACGTTAGCAAAAAAAAAACCATCCAGAGTCCTGTAGTAAGCTCATTAGGGGCCTTGCTGTAAAGCCATGGAGAGATCATTTAATCTTTCTCAGCTGCAGTTTTGCTTTGTGAATTGAAAATAAAAGCAATTGCTAATTCCCTGCCTTAAAACCTACCCTGGCCCCTATGTGTAATGGGGACAGTAACCCATCCTGAGAGTTAATTACCTCACCAAACCTGGTTATGATAGCAGTAACTCTGAGGTAACAGCAAGCCTCCCCAGAGGGTGGTGATGGCTCTACTTGTGGATGTGAACAGTCTACCTCACCAGCTCATGAGACAGCAAGCAAAACTCCAGACTGCTACCAGGAGAATCTTCCTAAAACATAAATCAGACTATGTTACTTCCCTAGTTAGGATTTTCCTATTCCACCCTCTTTCCCAGAGGATCAGGATAAGCCTATGCTTCTTAAAATGGCATGTAAAGCCTTCCATGATCTGGTCTTATCTACGTCATCTATTGCAAGTCTTTCCTCTGTTCCTTAAACTATTCCAAATATAAACTATTCTAGTTATTTTCCAACTGCATTGAACCGCTTAAAATTACCCATATACATCATGCTGCTTCCATGCCTCTGTGCCTTTGCTGGTAAAACCAGAACACAGGCTTTGGGATCAAAACACTTTGGGTTTGAATCCTAGCTCCACTAACTTCATAAGGTTGTTACTTAGCACAGTGCCTGGCATAGAGAAGGTGGTCAGCACATGCTAGTTTTATCATATGTGAGGCAGTATAGTAAAGAAGGGGAAACGTGCTGTCATTGGGACCAGACAGACTTGTTTTTATAGCCCTGATCTAGCACATTATAGTTCTGAGTCCATGGGCCATCACTTAACCATCCTGAGTGTCCATTTTCTGTAAAGAGCTTTCTCAGTAATGTGGAAAGATTCAAGATAGTGCATTTAAAGTGTCCGTCACATGCCTGGCATGTGGTAGATGTTCAGTAAACAGTAGTTCTTATCACGCCTGTTATTTCTACCAACTATACCTTAACTATTTACTGCTAGTTTAAGATTGGCTACTGAAGTCTCAGAGTATCACAGTCCCTCAATATTTTGTGTGTGTGGTTTTTTTTTTTGAGGAAGATTAACCCTGAGCTAACTGCTGCCAATCCTCCTCTTTTCGCTGAGGAAGACTGGCCCTGAGCTAACATCCATGCCCATCTTCCTCTACTTTATATGTGGGCCAAGGAATGCCATGTCTGCACCTCGTATCCGAACCGGTGAACCCCGGGCTGCCGAAGCGGAATGTGCGCACTTAACTGCTGTGCCACCAGGCCGGCCCCAGTCCCTCAATCTTTTTACTTGAGCATTTTTTACTTGATTAGCAGGAAATATTTTATTTGTCTGTAGAACTAATTGGCATTCTTTGCTTTGGACTATCACAGCTTGTGCTCCTCTGGCTACTAGGTGTGAGGTTAGGAGGCAGAAAAAAGAAAGGAAATAATAAATAAAGGTCAAGCTTGTTCTCTTGTTCTATGGATACTCAGAACAAGAAGAAATCTTTTCCAGATGGTCTTTCACATTATAAGGCTTCATTTACCCCACCCTAGTTAATATTTGATGTCCACTCTCTACCAAATTTAATTCAGTTCCTTTTCCCAACCAGATTAATCTGTTTCTGATATCAGCAGACTTATTTATTTGTTTAGTGATAGTATGATTCAGAGATAATATTTGACATTTAGGTGAGTGGTGCCTCTTTGAATCCTGTTTTTGAAAGACAGATGCATTGGACAACCAATGAAATATATTTATTGTGGAAACTTTATACACAATTTACTGCTAATCATTGTTACTTATTCATTGAGCTATACTTTTCATTTTGAGGGGAAATCTTACCCCTAAGGCTTTTTGGACTGTGAACTGACATTCACATTGAACTCTATTGTCCGTACACTTTAAACTCCTTAGAAGGGGGGACAGTCAGACTTCAGAGATGTGATATTATCTCACATGGCATATATATGTTTATATACACACACACACATATGAGTATATATACATATACACATACATATTTCTAACTAATTTTATGATATCCTGCCATTTATTAAATTTTAAGTATAGTACATCTAGCAATGTCTTAGTAAAACTTGAAAGAATTAATGCTCTCCCTAGGGGAGTTCAATGTCTTCTACCTCCTGGCTAAAAATATGTAAATTAATCTGCATGAGGAGGCAGTTCACTGAAGGTATCCTAAAATAAATTAATATTCTGAAAAGGGGACCTGATTCTAGGTTTGGAGGGCAAAATGGGAAAAGACACAGTCAATCCACCATTTACTTGTTATGCACTTGAAGCCTCCAAACATGTTCAATGATTTACCCAAAGTCCCAGAGCTGCTAATTGGCAAGCTGGCATTCAAACTCAAGATTCCTGACTGTTGTATATTAACTGACTGACTTTAAGTAAAAGTTGGCAGCATTTAGTAATTAATGAAAAATCTCAGAAATCTTATTGTCTTTCACTCTTTATTTTTTTTTTGTTTGGTCACAATGAGAGGAATGGTGTTGAAATAGTCTTAAATGAATAACACATTGTACTCAATTTTCTCCTTTTGGGCAAGGGAGACTTTAGCTTTTATGGTTCCTGGGGATGAAAGAGATAAGAAGAGTGTTATTTCTTCTTGCTTTACTCATTCTTCCCGAGTATCCACCCCCTTCTAAGAGGATAGCATTGCTTCATAGAGACAAGGTGTGTATTTCTTTCCAATTCCAAAGAAGCAAAGAGGTTAGATGTTTATGCAAAGGGAATTTCTGCCATAACATATGCTGACACTTATCTCATGGTTTAAGTACATTGGGCAGGAAGAATTCAGTGCATTACCTTACCTGTAGTCAAGAGATTTCCAAACTCCTAAAAGGAAAGAGGTAATGATTAAGAACACAAAACTTTGTATGGGTATATATGCATATATGTCAGTATCAAGTCTTCTTGGAACAGTGAATTTCTGGTTTTTAAAAATTTTAAGATGTATTTCCACAAATTTATTTTACAGACCTTTTCAAAGGCAATTAGATTTAATGTGGATTATGGAGTTTTTGAAGTAGTTAACAATGCTCCACAACTTCTGGAAAAGCAACTGAAAAAAATTCTGCAAAACCAGCAACCTCGAAATCCCATCTATGATGTTGTAAGGAAAGGAAAGAATGATGTTAAACCTATTCAAATGAATGCCCCCTATGAAGATGAGACCATTAATGTCAACTACAATATTATGGTGAGAAAGTATATTTGGGTTTATGTCTTGCTAGATAGATAAAGTGTTAGTGAGATTAACGTGAGGTTCCTTGAGCTTCCCTTTCTGAAATGTAGCTATACTTATTAAATTTTAATTATGCTTAGACATAGTATTTGTTAGTTGCTGTATCACCTTATTCGTATCAAATGGTCGTTTTAGTCTAGCAGTTTTGTTGATGTTTAATTATGAATATGAGAAGGTTTGCACAATTTACTTTGAATATTTAGAATATCAGGTTAATTTGGGGCAGTATAAATATGTCTATCCTTTATAGTTTAGATGTGTTCTAGAAAATGTGGGTATACAGTGAATGTATTTCATTTGGGTTCCATCTTATCAAGTAGCTGGGAATTGAGATTTCTGACCCCAAGTTACGTTGTGTGGCTCTCACCTCCCTGGTCTTAAATTCAAACCTCAACTTCTGGATTTTGTCTCCTTAGTATGAGGTAAAAAAAACCTGGGTTCTGATATTGACTCTTCAACTGACTAGGCTGAAATAGGTATAATGCTTAAGACATAACTCTTCTCCAGCCTGAATTTTCTTCAATTCTTCTTTTACTGAATTCAGCTATGTTTCTATCTTTCTTATGTCCATCAAATTAAATGCATTAATAATAATAATAGTATTTATAAATCTTTTTATAAGTGCTAAAAATAAAAATAGTAATGATAACTATATTACAGAATTGTTTTGAAGTTAAAACAAGGAAATATATTCTGAACTATATAGTAGTACCTAAATTGTTAAAAAAATTCTTTTACTAGGTGTGACTGATATTTATTGGTTTATTCACTTCCTTTAGTGAATAGAAATTTTTTATTTCATGGAGGTCTTTATAGCCTATTTCTTTATTGTTAAACGAAAGCTATTTAGGAACTTCTTAACTTGAGTTATGTGTTTTGATGCAAGTTTCTCAAAAAGATCTACTAGGTGACCTTATTTGATTGACTTGAAGGTAGACTATGATTCATTAAATATATGCATTGTAAACAGCAAGGCAACAATGTAAATTTAAAAAAATAGATATAAATAATATAATAATAGTGCAGATAAAAAGGAATAAAAATATACTCAAACCAAAAATAGACAGAAAATGAGAAAAAAAGAACAAAGAATATATGGAACAAATAGAAAACAAGATGGTAGATTTTAAACAAATCACATCAGTAATTAGTAGCACATTATTAATATACAAAAATAATTACATTAAACTTAAATGGACTAAACACCCCAATTAAAAGTCAGAGTTAGATGGGATATGACAGAAAGACCCAACTATTTTCTGTCTGTAAGAAGTTCACCTTAAATATAATACATGTAATTAGAAGAATGGGGAAAGATATACTATGCAGTTACTAAGTTAAAGAAAGTTGGAGTGGCTCTATTAATGTTAGACGAAGTAGACTTCAGAACTGGTGCTCCAGTGGTTAAAAGTGAGCACTCTCACCACTGCTGCCTGGGTTTGTTTCCCAGTTGGGGAACCACATCACTCATCTGTTGGTTGTCATACTATGGCAGCTGTGTGTTGCTGTGATGCTGAAAGCTATGCCACTGGTGTTTCAAATACCAGCAGGGTCATCCATGGTGGACAGGTTTCAGCAGAGCCTCCAGACTAAGACAGACTAGGAGGAAGGACCCGGCCACCCACTTCTGAAAAAATTGGCCATGAAAACCCTTTGAATAGCAGCAGACACTGCAAAAAGACTGGGCAGGGTTCAGCTTTGCTGTACACAGGGTTGCTAGGAGTCTGAATCACCTCAATGGCACTAACAAAAACAAAAACTTCAGAATAAGAAATCTTGCTATGGATAAAGAGAGACATTGCATAATGATAAAGGGTGAATTGGTATTCACCAAGAAAGCAAAAAAACCCATAATACATACCCACCTAACAACAGAGTTTCAGAATATGTGAAATGAAAGCTGATAGCACTGAAAGGGGAAATAGACAAATCCACAGTTACAGCTGGAAACTTAAACACTGCTCTCTAAGTAATTTATAGGAAAAATAGACAGAAGATCAATAAAGATACAGGAGAGCTGAACAACACTAGCAACCAAGTCAATCCGATTGATGTTTATAGATCACTTCAACCCACAACAGCAGTGTACACATTCTTGTTCAAGTACATTTGGACCATGTTCTGGGCCATAAAACAAATTTCAACAAATTTGAAAGATTTGGAACCATGAAAAAATGTTTTATGATCATAACAAAATTAAACTATAAAGTAGCAGAAAGATATCTGGAAAATCCCCAAATATTTAATTAATTAAACAACACACTTCTAAAGAGCCCATAGGTTAAAGAGTAAGTCCCAAGGGAAATCAGAAATTATGTTGAATTGAATAAAAATTAAAATACAACATAAAATTTGTGGAATGCAATTAAATAAGTATTTGGAGGTAAATTTATAGCATTAAGTGCTTATTAGAAAAAACTAAAGTTCTCAAATCAATGACCTAAGCTTCTATCTTAGGCAACTAGAAAAAGAAAATTAAGCCCAAAGTAAAGAAATAAAGAATATAATAAATGAAATTGAAAACAGCAAAATGAGAGAAAATCAAGGAAAATAAAGGCTAGTTCTTTGAAAAAATGGAATGAAATCGATAAACTTTTAGCCAGAGTGATGAGGAAAAAAATGAAAGAGTATATAAATGATTAATATCGTAAATGAAGGAGGGGACATCACTACAGATGCTACAGACATTCAAAGGAAAATACGGGCATTTTATGAACAACTTTATGTCCATAAACTCAACAATGTAAATGAAATGGATGTATTCCTTGAAAGATGCAAATTAATAATGCTCAATCAAGAGGATATAGATAATCTGAATGGTCCTAAATATATTAAAGAAATTGGATTCATAGTTAAAAATCTTCCCACATCATACTTAATGGTGGGAAACTCAAGCTTTCCCACTAAGAACAGGTATAAGGCAAAGATATCACTCTCACCACTTGTTTTCAACATCGTATTGGAAGTCCTTGCTGATGCAATAAGGCAAAAAAAGGAAATAAAAGTTATACAGATTGGGAAGGAGGACATAAAAATGTTCACAGATGACATGATCATCTATATAGAAGATCTGAAAGAATCAAAAAAAATCTAGAAGTAGTAAGCAATTATGGCAAGATTGTAGGATACAAGATTAATATACAAAAGTCAATTGCTTTCCTATATACTAACAATGAACAAGTGGAATTTGAAATTAAAAACACGATACCATTTACCATAACAATACCATCTACCATAATAATAAACACTACTGTTAGCACCCCCAAAAATGAAATACTTAGGTGTAAATCTAACAAAATATGTACAAGATCTATATGAGGAAAACTAGAAAATTCTGATGACCAAAATCAAAGAAGAACTAAATAAATGGAAGATATTCCATGTTCATGGATAGGAAGACTCAATAATGTCAAGATGTCACTTCTTCCCAACTTCATCTATAGAGTCAATGCAATACCAGTCAAAACCCAGCAAGTTATTTTATGGATGTTGACAAACTGATTCTAAAGTTTATGGGGAGAGGCAAAAGAATTGGAGGACTGATCCTGCCCAACCTCAAGACTAATTATAAAGCTACACTAAACAAGACAGTATGGTATTGGTGAAAGAATAGTCAAATAGATCAATGGAACAGAATAGAGAGCCCAGAAATAGACCCCCAGAGATATAGTCAACTGATCTTTGACAGCGGAGAAAAGGCAATACAATGGGGCAAAGATAGTCTCAACAAATGGTGCTAGAACAACTGGACATCCACCTGCAGAAAAATGAATCTAGATACAGACCTTACATCCTTCACAAAAATTAACTCAAAGTCTATTATAGTCCTAAAAGTAAAACACAAAGCTATAAAACTCCTGGATGATAATAAAGGAGAAAACCTAGATGACTTCAGGTGTGGTGGTGACTTTTTAGCTACTATACCAAAGACACGATCCATGAAAGAAATCATTGGTAAGCTGGACTTCATTAAAATTAAAAACTTCTGCTCTGCAAAAGGCAACATCAAGAGAATTAGAAGACAAGCCACAAACTTAAAATATTTGCAAAAGACCCAACTGATAAATGACTATAATCTAAAATATTAAAAAATCTCTTAAAACTCAACAATAAGAAAACAACCCAACTAAAAAATGGACCAAAGACCTTAATAGACACTTCACCAAAGACAATATAGAGAGGGCAAATAAGCATATAAAAGATGCTCCACATCATATGTCATCAGGGAAATGCAAATTAAAACAATGAGAGATACCACGACATACCTATTAGAATGGCCAAGATCCAGAACAGTGACACCACCAAGTGCTAGCAAGGATGTGGAGCAATGGGAGCTCACACATTGCTGGTGGGATGCAAAATGGTACAGCCACTTTGGAAGACAGTTTGGTCACAAAATGAAACCTACTCTTATTATTTGTTGTTGTTAGTGCCCTTGAGTCGATTCTGATTCCTAGCAACCCCGTGTACAGCAGAGCAGAACCCTGCCTGGTGTTTTTTGCTGTATCCTCTCACCTTCTGGTGCTACATAACACAATGCTCCACTGCTGTTAATATGGTTTTTGTGGCCAATTTTTTTAAGAAGTGGGTGGCCAGGTCCTTCTTCCTAGGCTGTATAGTCTGGAAGCTCTACTGAAACCTGTCCACCATAGGTGACCCTGGTGGTATTTGAAATAGTGGTGGCATCACTTTCAGCATCACAGCAAGATGCAGCCACCATAGTAGGACAACTGACTGATGGGTGGTGTAGCTCCCTGTGTGGGAAACAAACCCGGGCCGAGGCCAAATCTTTACCACTAGACCACCAGGATAGGCACACTTATCATATGATCCAGCAATTGCACTCCTGGTATTTACCCAAGGGGCCTGCAGTGACCATAGTGGCCTTACCAAGTGTTCTGGTTAGCTCTTTTTCTGTTTGCAATTATTTTTAGCCCATTTTATAAATGTGAAAATACTGAGACTGACTGACTTTTTTCTCATACCTCCTCCTCTAATAAGTTACTTAACTTTTCTGGATTCAGTTTGTTAATCTGTAAAATGGAGATAATAATTGATGCAGGGTTGTTGAGAGAATTAGAGAAGTACCAGAAGGCAAGAAGTGGCTTCAAATTTGTGACTCAGGGTTCTTGCTTTCTCCTGTGCAAATAGAAGGTAGAGGCAGGGCTCCTTGTACTAGCTAGAGGTCGTTATTGCTCTATTGATTAGGCCTTAGTTGTCCCAAAAGGTGATTTTCTTTGATGCTCTTTCTTTTTCACTTGTCCTCTAACAGTGTCTCAGTCGTGAACAGGGTATTCAGTGGATCAAAAAAGAAAGACTTCCAGCATTTCTGGAAAGCGATTGCTACTTTGAATACAGGTATTGTAAGCCTATCAGTATAGATATTTTTAAATGTCTATTTTTTTCACCTAAAATCATTTTTCTGTACTTTCTTAACAAAACTGTACATCTTTAAACTCATTGGAGTTTGTATTTCACTTGCTATATTATAAGAATGATAGAGCTTTGGTAAAAATCACTTAAGTTTTCCAAAGGTATTTCACAGAAACAGTACCCAATAAACGTACTTTAGTCGTGCTTCTTTGATCATTATATTTTAAAAATTATCTACTTGTGATGATGGTATTTATGTGCAGAGTGTTAAAAAATGAGTATAAGTGTGCTATGAAAAAGACAGATGTCATATTCCAGGGCCAAGTTTTTCTTTTATACTCCCTGACTTTTAAAGTGTTAGTACCTAAACATTCTGAAATTTTACTAAAATTTGACCTTTGCGTAGAACAACTATATTTTAAATTGAAATAAAATAAATTGAAACAGAATAATTATTAATTAGTAGTTCTATGAATAAACCATTAATTTTAGTAGATCCTAAGAGAATCATCCTGCAGAGTTAGGAGGGGAGATTGGCTTGAATATACAAAATAAACTTTTAGCTTTTTTTTTTCCTGAATTCTAGCATATTTGAAACTTATTTCAAGTTTGTATGGTTTCTAAAATGCAGGTTAGCCAAATTGGTCTCACAAGTAAGATGGAGTGGATCAGGCATGAATATCACACTAGGCACAGATTTTTCTCCCTGGGTCCTGAAAAAACCACCCAGTCCACCACCTCCTGCCATTGAAGAAGACAATGTTATAATTATGAAAAAGTTCTACATTTCTCTTGGCGAGGTAAAAGTATGAGTGTTTCTTCATGACTTGGCTCTTCAATGAAACTTCACAGAGAAAATGATTTCAAATACTTCTAAAGTAGATTTAGCAAAAATTCTTGTGGATTTGTGCTGAGTCATTTGCTCTGCACTGTTTCACCTGAAATGTAATTCAAATTATTATCCTTGCAAGATTGAAGAACATGCTCAGTGTTGCCTGGGAATCAAAGGTAACTTGAATTATGGTTTCATTGTGCATTACAAAATTTTTATTCTTTGGGTTCTGCACCTTTTGTGAAAACGATGATAAATTGGGTCTTCTCCCTATTGTCAAGATTATTCCTCAGTAGTAAAAATGCATTACTGTTTAACTGTTATAAATTTTTCCTCCATGATTGGAGAATTGTTGGGTTGTATGAGTGGATTTGAAGAGGTCTCAACTAGAATCAAATGTCCTTTGGTAGAGTCGTGGTGTAGTGAAAACTGTTCTTTGATCTTTGGCCTCTAATTATCAGATCTTCTCTCTGGGAACACATTTCTAATACAGAGTTCTGTACAAAATCAGGAATTGCAAGTATGTAGCCCATGTGTTACTGTTCTTCTAGTTTCTATTCATGACAGACATTGCTAGTCAATCATGGCAGTTTTCCTGCTGAGCTAGGCCTTGGCTCCAAGTTCTTTTCAACACAGCGCTCTAAGCAGGCACTTGCGATTGATCAAAGATGTCTTGCAAGGGGAAAACTATTTGCCATCATTGTTGTAATGGAGAGACATCATATCTTACTTGAACATTTTTTTTCATGTATAGTCCCTATTTAATTTTGTACTTTAGCATTTCTATCACTAATATTTGGCAAAAATGCTTAACATTATGCCAATCCCATTATTTCCACTGAATAAAGCTTAGAGATGTATCAAAGGCACAGTTTTCTTCTCTCTTTTACTTATTTTTAAGCATTTATTTCTTTTCTTAACTTATATATTATAGAAATGTCAGGAATGTTGTAAAAATATGTACTGATAATAGAGGTCAATAAATATGCAAAGGGAGGAATCAATCTAGGAGAATAAATTCTGATTCCTTACATGTAGATTTAATCAAATATAAGACAATAAAATCCAAGAGAGTTTACTTTTGCTGTTTTCAGTGGTTAAAGAACTCATTTCTCTCCACTTGATTAATACTTTAACTGTGTGTTGTGTTTTTAATAGCTTTTGAATTTTGAGAATTCAAAGTTCTTTGGGCCTTGAAATCATTTAAACCATGACTATAGATAGAGATTCCTCTTTATGCTAATCAGTAACATTTCTTTGAGCCTTCAGTTATACCATCTAAACATGGACAAGTGACCCATCTCTTAAGAGTATAAAGTGGAATAGTTAACTGCTTTTATGTCTGACTAGTTCTTTCTGCCCCATCTTCTACTCTCTTTTTTGTGCAGTTAAAATAGCAAGAACTCTTTCTTATTGGTCTCTCTCAATTCCTTGAAAGTTACTTAATTATTTTGGCCTCTTCTCAGTGCTTAGGATACTGCTTGGAATAGAGTAGTCACTCAATAAATATATGTTGAATGAATATATAATTAATAGTGAATGACTTGGTTTTAAAGGAAAGAAAAGAGGGAACAAAAGGAAATTAGAGTCTTTCAAAGCTTTTATCTACCAGGAAACCTTACCTCTAAGAGGGGCAGTGACTACACAGATGGCATCTCTCACTTCTCTCTTTTGCTTTTGAACTCATTGTGTGGCCTGACTTGCCCTACTAATTCTGCATAATAGTCAGGGAACAATAGCTATTCCATTTGAGCCCTGCTTCTTCTGTGAATGCTCCTTAGGCTAAGGGCCAACCAGCTGACTCAGTTGGAGAAAGGTAAAGTGAGAAATGAGAGTAATGCTGGACACTCCTTTCTCTGCTTCTGTTGAACAACTTGGATTATCTTAGAAAAACAGGTGAGGACATTACTGAGAGAGGCAGGCAGAGGGATTTTCCCAGGAAAGCTGAGATAGGGGCTTCTTAGGACTGGGGTTCTAGAAGCTGAGGTTCAGCTGGCTCAAGGATACACAAAGCAAAGGAAAAGCTGAAGGCTACGTTGAGGGGCAGGTAGAATCAGGAAACAAGTCTTCAGGAAGTATCCAATCCAAGCAAAGTTGTGAAAACTGAATCTAAGGCAAAGGGACAGTTGAGCTTGGAGAGGTTTCCAGTGCTACTGAGAGTAAGTCTTGTTATATTAGGGAAGAGTTGTTAAAAGCACTGAGCCTGGTCAGACAGAATTGGGGGCCTGAAATAATTGGGAAAGTCATAAATGGGAGTAGCTGGCAAAAGATGCATCCAAGGACTGATGAGTCATGATGACTGCCAAGTTAAAGTTAGATGGCATAACTTAGTAGTGAAGCCAGAAAGTGTGGTTGCATGCCTCTGGTGGAAGAGTGGAGAATTTGATGGGTATTGAGCTCATTTTTTTCCTTTGGTCATCTAATATGAAAATGATCTGAATTGAAATTTCCTTCCCTTTATTCTGTTAGCTAATGAATTTTTCTGTATACAACATTCTTTTATTTCATGGCATAATTTTTCCTTTGCATATTGTACTATGCAAATTGAATATTATCATAATGATTTGTCCAGGTTTGTGATTGTAAGAATACTGCTAATCTTATGTTAAATGGATGTGTTTCTTTCTTCCTAGGCCTCCTATACTCAAACGAAAGATTGGTTTGCGTTAGCAAAACAAAGTCAGCAAACAGTATCCACCTTTTCACTTCCGTCTTGTGTATTCCACAACAAAATTGAATCACCAGTTATTTCATCTGTTTCTGGTAAGCAGAAAAGGATAAGAATGACTTCAGAACTCCTCCTTAAGTCATCTGTTGTTGTTATTCTAATCTTACAGTACAACACTTTGTGGTTGGGCAGAAAAAATTATTTCCTCCTCCTGACCCCCAATTCCACTTTCTACTGTTTTTTTGAGAGGCAGGTTGGTATAGTGAAAAGAGGATGAATTTAGAACCCAGCTCCCATACTTACTATCTGTGTAACTTTGGTACATTATTCTGCTTCTGGAAGCCTTGCTTCTCTCATCTGTAAGATTAGAATAATGGTACATACTAAATGTAGAGAAAATGCCTGGCCTCATGCTTGGTGCCTAATAGGCAGTCTAATAAATGTTCGTCTTATCTTTATTTCCTATCACAGTTTACAAATTCTTATTATTAAGCCTTTGAAATAAAGTGGGTGCAACATTTCTCTCCTCTTTAAAAGTCAATAGTCATTCCTGGAACTTGAGTTTTCCTTCCATTTTTAAGTTCAGACTATTTTTCACCTTGAAAGGCAGATAAATTTCTACTGTGGGGAACTTTTGTGGATGATGCCAATTTTACATAAAAAAAGAAGGAACCTTCCGGAAATGGGAGTCATTAACGTGATATTTCTAGAAGAAAACATCAAGCAATGTGATTCAGGAGAGGAACTCAGCAATTCACTAACAGTTCTTACCTAATTACGTTGAAAAGTATAAGCAACCTCTGGGGACAATAAATCTGGGTTCACTAGAATTGATTCTTGATTCTCTAGAAATCTGGGTTTACCTAGAAACTAAATCTAGGTAAAGAGGAAAATAATCTCCCTAATTGAAAATGGCTGAGTTATTAAGTTTCTTGCTGTTTTCCCAAAATGGTAAAGTGGAAAATTGAAGGATAAAGATCGTGAAGATAGGAAACAGAACAAGAAAGGGTAGCAGGAAGGTGGTAAGCAAAAATGCCAGCCTGCTCTCTACCTTCAGTTCTGTGGGATTGAGTGTATACACAATATCCTTTCACAGGTTTGCAAGAGTCCTATCTCTCAGTATTGGGGAAATTTGGTTTGTTTTCAATAAAAATTGTAATAAAACATTTCCAGCTCATTGAGATTTGAAATCTATTACTGAGAAAATGCCCATTGAGAGTGGGACACAGATGACAACAGAGTCTTCCTGATCCATGGCATTTCAAGGGGTAGATTTACCATGTGAAATCACTGACATCAGATGTTTAACTGATTTCTGAAAGAAAGAGAAAATAGGAGCTAAAGACTATATCTTTCGAAAATGTGTAAAAACAACCCATATGTATTTGTCAGCTTTCATACGTACTTTATCCCATTTTATAATTTTAATGATAGGTTGTAAATATGATAGTAATTGAATCTTTCTGATAAAATAGTGAATTTTTTTAAGTTACTGATATGACTCCAGTTCTGATCTGTTCATCTGTTGTCTCATCATCTATGGCAGCTAATTTTACTTTATCATACAACATGAAATAATAAAGCACATACAATAGTTTAATGTAATTCTTTAATAGACTTGGCCTATACATATTGGCATTCTATATTAGCCTGAAATATTACATTTTAAAAGTGTATAAAGTCATTTTGAAGATCCTCTGTATTAGGGGTGTCACCTATTTAGTTCATCTGCCACCATTATCTCCTTACATGTCCAGGGGAGATATAGCTAATCCCTGTTGGCAATTTTTTCTCTACTGGTCCCAAATGTCGCTTTAGACTCCTTAAGACACTGGTCCATGCAGTCACGACCTTTGATTAAATCCGTTTGCCATTCTGTCTCTATAACATCTAGTTAATAATTAAAAAAACTTGTGCATTCGTATTTGATCTAATAGCCTTTTATGATTTAATACAGAGAGTTTTATCTTTGATGATGGAGTTCACCCCAGGACAAAAAAGGACTCATCTAAAACCACTAGATTAATTTCTGAATTTGAAGAAGAAGAAGATGGATCTATATCTCTACAAGATACTCCTTCTCAAGCTCTTCTGAGAGAATACCTTGAAAAGCAACAGGATGTTAATGAAAGCTTGACATTGCACTTTTCAACATGTGAAGAATTTTTAAAATCTTATGTAACCTTTATTTTGAGAGTAGCAATTTATCAAGTTCTTGGAGAGCCATTTAGAGAAAGCCCAGGATACATAAATTTCAAAAATGTAACAGAAGTGGTGTTTGATGAGCGTTTTGAGCCTATCCCTGGCAAGAATGTTTTGTTAAGTAAAACAGTTCAAACCAAAAAGGAAAAGTCAGAAGAGATGTTAGAACAAGCAAGTTCAAAGAGTGAGAGCATTGGGCCAGAAAGCAGGGCTGACTGGTGGATTTCTCACAAAACTTACGACATTGGCAATAGAAAGGAGTTTGAAAGATTTAAGAAATTTATAAAAGGCACATCAGGAGAGAGATATTGCTGGCTGTGGATGGATATTGAGAGGTTAAAAGTTCTTAAGGATCCTGGAAGGCGTCAAAGGTATTTTTCTATTTTTTATTTTTCAATAGTTTTAAAAACAAATTATGGAATATTAGTTTGGGTCATTTCAGCCCAGGCAGAAAGCCTGAAATAAATATAAAAATGTATACTTTTAGAGGAATGAATAACAGTAAAATTTATTTTATTATAATATTGATTTCATTGCTTCTATGATTTCATAGCTTTCAGATACTAATAGTAGCAATTATTCGGGTTTGCATAATGTTTCTTCCCATAGATTTTAAACTTGCTCTCAAATTAATTATTCTATTTTATTTTTATAACACTCTAGTGATGTATTTTTATAGAAAAAAATAATTTATCAATTGTATACCCATACTGGCATAAGCTACCTTATATAAAAGATACCTTATGCCAGTGTAAGGGCCTGCTGTTCCTACCAGTTTGCTCGGTTAACAAATTCCACGATCTTTAGTTGGATGCCACTCAGACATTCATATCTGAATGAGATATCCACTAGATATCACACTGGATACCCTCGAGAGCCTCTTAGAGGTCTGATTGGTTACGTGTCTCTTTTTGGCCACTCCATATGTTTTAGATTACTGTAAGTCTTAAGAACCTTAAAAAGACCTTGCTTTAGGAAAGTCCTTCTTGTGTCTGTATTCTCTTGATCTGCTTTGAAGCAGATCAACTATAGTAGATTGCAATTCCCATCAAGAGGTTGACTGCGTATGGTCTAGTGACTGGATTATTCCAATTATTTCAGTGGCTTTCAGATCATAGAGCTCATTGTTGTTCACAGTTATAAAAGCAGGGATTACCAAAGGGGTGATTATGAAACATGGCCTGATTAATCATGGCGTGGAACACCACTACCCCTTTTCAAGACATATTAGGGAAGTTATCTGCAAATAACCTACATAGGTTCTTCAGGATCAATACAGTATTAGTTTCTATTGTTGCTGTAACAAAGTACCACAAATTTAGAGGCTTAAAGCAACACAAATTTATTATCTTACAATTAGAAGGTTACAAGTCTAAAATGAGTATGCAGGTGTACATTGCCTCTGGAGGCTCTAGGGGAGAATCCATTTCCTTGCCTTTTCTAGCTTCTGGAGGCCACCTACTTTCCTTGGTTGGCGACCCCTTCCTCCCTCTTCAAATCCAAGAGCATAACATCTTCTCTTCTCTGACCTCTGCTTCTATCCTCACATCTTTTCTCTATGACTCTGACTCTCCCATCTCCCTCTTCGAAGGACTCTTGTGATTATGTTAGGATCACCTAGAAGATCCAGGATAGTCTTCTTAAAATCCTGATGACATCTGAAGGGATCTGCAGAATCCCTTCTACCATGTAAAGTAGCATTCACAGGTTCTGGGGATTAAGACATAGATATCTTTGCGAAGCTGTTGTTCAACCTACCAAAAATACCCTTCCCTTTCCCATAACTGTGAGAAACACTTTTATCTCCACGTTGGTACCCCTGTAATTCAGTGTTGCTTTTGAGATAGTTCATTACTTGTCTGAAACATTTTAGAAGTGAAAATATTTGGCTAGTTGAATATTGTATCAATGTGTGTGTAGATGTGTGTATGTGTTTTATTTCAGACATCTTGAGAAAATGAAAAAATGCTATCTAGTGAGCAGTGGAGATTACTACCTTTCTGCAGAAATCTTATCAAAATTGAAACTGCTAGATGGATCTCAGTGGAATGAAAAACACTTAAAAAATATTCAGACTGAGGTTTTAAAACCCTTACTTCTGTATTGGTAAGAAAAATAATGTTAATCAAAGGTATTTGTTTTCACTTTTCTTAGGGTAGTTACAAGTTATACTTTTTATCTTGTGGATATATAATTTATGGAAATTTAAAATGATAAGATTATTATATGTTTGGCCCTCATTAAAGTACTTATCCTTTAGATAATTTGTATGTTTAGGGGACTTAAAATCCATGATAAAGCTGGACAGTACTTAAGCTCCATTTTAACTTTGTGATCCCATCCTTCTACATCTGACTTTCTTATGGTTGGTATCTCATCAAATTGATGTGTGTGTGTCTGCATGTGTGTACATGTAGCTAGGGTTACAGATTTATTATCTAAAACTTTTTTTTTAAAGATTGACAGCTGAGCTAATAACTGTTGCCAATCTTTTTTTTTTCTGCTTTTTCTCCCCAAATCCCCCCAGTACATAGTTGTACATTTCAGTTGTGGGTTCCTCTAGTTGTGGCATGTGGGACGCTGCCTCAGCATGGTCTGATGAGCAAGCGATGCCATGTCCATGTCCGGGAATCTGAACCAGCAAAACCCTGGGCTGCTGAAGCGAAACTCATGAACTTAACCACTCGGCCCTGGGGCTGGCCCCTCTCAAACGTTTTTGAGCAGTTACTATAGGCCAAGTGTTATGCTAAGGATGTAAGAGTAAAACATGGTCAAATCTAGTGATTATAGTCTAGTGGGAGGAGCATATATATGAAATGAGTATAATAAAAAAAAGTATGGTGAATGCACAGATACAGAGAAGAAGTAGTATTTCACCTGGGAGTCGAGAGACTCTAAGCAAGGAAAAGAGAATGGACATAGTAGGAAAAATGCATGTCATTTGCGGATCAGTGAGCTGTCCACTCTGGCTCTGGTGGATCTGAGTATGTCACTTCTCTGCTTCAAATCTTTCACTATTACCCCAAAGTTTTCAGTGTAAAGTTCAGATTCCTTAAGTTAGCAAATAAGGTCGTCATGATTTGTCCCTTGCCCAATTCTCTGGCATCATCTCTCATCTAGGTGTTCCAGATTACTTGTATGCTTTGTACTTTTCCATATTGAGAGAGAATGTTGTTTTTCTCTTTCTTTCTTTAAAAACTTCTATTCTTAAATATTTAAGACATACAGAAAGGTATAAATTATACTACAGTGGACACCTATGTACACACCACCCAACTTAATAAAACATTACTAATATAGTAGAAGCTTTCCTTTTTTTAATTTAACATTTTGTTTTGAGATAATTGTAGATTTATATGCAGTTGTAAGAAATAATACAAAGAGATTTTGTATATCTTTCATCCACTTTCCCCCAATGGTAACATCTTGCATAATTAGTATAGTTTCACAATGAGGAAATTGGCACAACTCATCAATCTTTTTCATATTTTACCAGTTTTACATGCACTTATTTATGTCTATGTGTATAGTTAGTTCAATGCAATTTTATCGCATTATTTTTATTTTTCCTTTTTCTGTCAAAGCCCCCCAGTACATAGTTGTGTATTTTTTTTTAGTCATGGGTCCTTCTAGTTGTGGCATGTGGGATGCCACCTCAGCATGGCTTGATGAGCCGTGCCATGTCCGCGCCCAGGAGTCGAACTGGCGAAACCTGGGCTGCTGAAGCAGAGCTCGCGAACTTAACCACTCAGCCACGGGGTCAGCCACATAGCACGTTAGAGATTCATGCATTCATCACTACAGTCAAGATACAGAACAGTTACATTATCACAAGCATCCCTTGTACTGCTCTCTTATAATCACACCCACCTCCCTCCCTCCCGCTCTACCCCCATCTAACTCCTGGAAACCACTAATATAAACTAATATTATATAAATGAAATAATACAATTTGTATAATCTTTGGGATTATCTTTTTTCATTTAGCATAATTCCCTTGAGATCCATCCAAATTGTTGTGTGTATCAATACTTTTATTTCGTTGCTGAATAGTATTCTATTGTATAGATATTATACATCCATTTACCCATTGGAGGACATTAGAGTTGTTTCCAGTTTTTTGCTCTTACTAATAAAACTGCTATAAACATTCATATACAGGTTTCTGCATGAGCATAAGCCTTCGTTTCTCTGGAGTAAATATCCAAGAGTGAGATTAGTGGGTCATATAGTGAGTCTGTTTTCAGTTTTAAAAGAAACTGCCAAACTATTTTCCAGAGTTAATGTATCATTTTACATTCCCACCAGCAGTACATGAATGGTCCAGTTTCTTTGCATCCTTGCTATTGTTTGGTGTTGTCACAATTTTCTATTTTAGCCATTCTGATAAGTGTGTAGTGATATCTCATTGTGATTTTACTTTGCAATTTTCCAATGGTTAGTGATGCTGAACCTCTTTTCATTTGCTTATTTGCCATTTGAATATTCTCTTCAGTGAAATATTTATCTATTTTATCCATTTTCTAATTGGATTGTTTTCTTTCTTATTGTTGAGTTTTAGAGTTATTTTTGTATTCTAAATACTAATCATTAGTCAGATAATGGAGTTTGCAAATATTTTCTCCAAGTCTTTAGCTTGTCTTTTCAAAGATGAGCTTTCCTTCTTAAAAGGGTCTTCCAGAGCTTCCAGGTTGGTCAGCATAGGGAGATTTGGGGAGAGTGGCACACTCAGAGAGCATGGAATCTCCACACCCCTTCCCGCTTACCTTGCACTATACATCTCTTCCACCTGGCTGTTCCTGAGTTATATCCTTTTATAATAAACCAATAATTTCAATTAAGCAAGTAAGTAAAGATATTGTGGATATTGGGATCCAGAATTCTCATCAATGTGGAAGAAAGTTACAAATGTGGAAGCAGAGTGAACCCTGTGGTGAATGGACTGGAATTGGAGGTGGAAATGGAAAATGCAGCTTTCAGAAACTCAAGTTACCATACTCAATTATGGAGAGTAATTCACTGGGGAAAAGAAAAGAAAGGTCAAACCAAACAACAGAAGTTCATGAGGGCAAGAAAGAAAAGAACTTTCAGGAGAAATTCTGAAGTTAATCACATGTGGGATTTTCCCTGGGAGGGTGGTGTATTGCAGACTGTCTCTAAATGAATGGTTCCAGATAAGTTTTGCTCCAAACATTTCACTAGGGTAGGGGCAAATAGCTCTTCGGCCAAGTTGATTCAACTAATGCAAACTTTCCTACATCAAATATTACTGCCTGCACCTACTATTAAGAATAAATATAACTGTATCTGAAAGACCAATAAAAAGAGAGTCCTTCATAGAGCAAGATTTTAAAATTTTGAAGAGGTCCAATTTTCAACTTCTTTAATGGATTATGCTTTTGGTGTCAAACTGAAGAACTCTTTGCCTAGTTCTAGATTCTGAAGATATTCTATGTTTTTCTAAAAGACTTGCAATTTTATGTTTTACATTTAAGTCCGTGGTGCATTTAGAGTTAATTTTTGCATAAGATGTGAGGTTTAAGTCAAGGTTCAGTTGTTTTGGTTTCTTTTTCTTTTTTTCTTGCTTATGGATATCTAGTTGCTTATCCTCATTTATTGAAAAGGCTATTCTTCCTCTTTCCTTCTTTTCTATGTTTTACACTAACATATAGTAAAGTTAAATTGTATGGATTCATATAACCACCACAACAATCAGGATACAAACAATTCTGTCACCCCAAAATACTCTCATACTACCCATTACACTCTTCCTCCATTCCTAACCCCTGGCAACCACTGATCCATTCTTTGTCACTGTAGTTTTGTCTTTTTGAGAATGTCATATAAATGAAGTCATGAGTATGTAACCTTTAGAGACTGACTTCTGTTGGTCAGCATAATGCCTTTGAAGCATAATGCATAATGTGTCCCAATTGTTTCATACATCACAGTTCATATTTTTAAAATTTAGCTTTCCAGTTCTTCATTGTTGGTAAATAAAAACATGATTGAATTTTGTGTGTACTCGCTCAGTATCAGAGAGGGCAAAAGCCCTTTCAGTCTCAGCTGCTAATCTCAGATTGGCCTGCTGTTCTTCTCTGGCCATTTTGGTGCTCCTCCATTCATTCTCAGGTCCATCAGACTCTTCCTTCTTCCTTTCATCTACTCACTAATACCATGCAGGTCTTACGGCTGATAGTAGTCTGTACCCACCTGCTCGTATTTTGGTGTATGTGGGGATACCTTCTCACATTAACATTTTGTTGTAGATGTCCGTGAGTTTTTGGTTTTGCTATCTAGTTGTCCTGTCCATTTTTTTTTTAAAGATTGGTACCTGAGCTAACATCTGTTGCCAATCTTCTTTTTTTCTTCTTCTGCTTGTCCCCAAAGCCCCCAAGTACATAGTTGTATATTGTAGTTGTGGTCCTTCTGGTTGTGCTATGTGGGACGCCGCCTCAGCATGGCCTGATGAGCAGTGCCATGTCCATGCCCAGGATCCAAACTGGTGAAACCCCGGGCAGCTGAAGCAGAGCATGTGAACTTAACCACTCGGCCATGGGGCCGGCCGCTGTCCTGTCCATTTTTTATGGAGGGATTCTGAGAGGTAGAAAAACAATATTGCTGACATTGCCATTTTCCCAGAATCTTCTCTTCCATTTTTTTCTTGATCTAGCTAAATCCTATGTACTGTTTAAAATTCAAACCGAAACATAAATAGTTTAATGAATATTATCACTTTGTAACTATCACATGGATTGGGAAATAGAACATCACCAAGACCCCTGAAGGTCCCTTCCTGATCACAGCATTCCTCACTCACCCTCAGAGCTAACCACAGTCCTGACTTTTGTGATTATCATCTTGCTTTTCTTTCTTTCTCTCTCTCTCTCTTCCCCTCCCCATCCCTGTCTTTTTCTTTTGAGGAAGATTGACCCTGAGCCAACATCCATGCCTGTCTTCCTCTACTTTATATATGCAAAACCTGCCACAGCATGGCTTGATACGTGATGCATATGCCTGGGATCTGAGCCAGCAAACCCCGGGCCACCGAAGCAAAGCCCATGAACTTAACTGCTATGCCACCAGGCCGTCCCCTCCTCTTGTTTTTCTTTATAGTTTACCAACCATGTATCCAAATAAATCCCTAAATATATACTTTCATCTGCCTGTTCTGCAACTTCATGCGAATGGAATCAGGTTGTATGCATTCTTTTGTGTCTTCTATCAACATTATATTTGTGAGATTCATCTGTAATTGCTCTTGAGTTTTGTTTTTTTTTTCTGCCTTATCTCCCCAAATCCCCCCCAGTACATAGTTGTATATCTTAGTTGCAGGTCCTTCTAGTTGTGGCATGTGGGACGCCGCCTCAAAGTGGCCTGATGAGCAGTGCCATGTCCGCGCCCAGGATCCAAACCAGCAAAACCCTGGGCCGCTGCAGCGGAGCGCGTGAACTTAACCGCTCGGCCACAGGGCCAGCCCCTTGTTCTTGAGTTTTATTAATTTTCATTGCTGTATATGGTATGCCGATGCATGAATATACCATAATTTGTTTGCCATTTTTTTAACATTTGGGTTGTTTCCTGCTTTTCACAATTACAGGTAATGCTGTAATGTATATTCTTGTACATATATCCATTTTTCCAAAGTAGTCATATCAATTCATGCTCCCACCAACGGAATATCAGAGTATCTATTGCTACAAATCCATGGTAACATTTAATATTGTCAGACTTTAAAATTTTTGCCTTTATATTTGGTGTGTCGTCAGTGTCTTGTGGTTTTAACTTGCATTTCCTTGATTACTAGTGAGATTGATAATTTTTTCAATGTTTATTGGTCATTTGGATTTCAACTTTCATGAATTCCTGTTAATCTTTGGCCTATTTTTCTATTGGGAGATACACACAGACACACATATGCATATATATACACACACGTACATACATACATGTATATTGGATACAGTTCCTTTAGTGGTAGTATGTGACAAATATCTTCTCCCACTCTCTAGAGCTTGAGAATTAAAAAGTGTACAATCAGTGTACATTAGAACTTATATGATGGAAGCATGAAAAATAATACCAGTTTAGGATTGACTGTGAAATTTATTCCACAATAGTTGATGAATTTACGTAGTAGACAATAAAAAAATTAATACAATAAATGAAATAAGAATGCAAGATTAAAATGATAGGGGCAGGAGGGAATTATGGGGTCATATGAATATTCTGTAAAAAGGAGAATCGGAAAATTGAGACACCTAGATTTCCTGGCCAACACATGTATGATTTATTTGATAAGTATCTTGTAAATATGCCCACTTACTGGCTGACATGCAAATAAGAGGTAATTTTGGATATTTCCAAGACTGCAAATAAAGATTCTGAAATATGGTGTAGAATGGCCATCTAGATCTATATAGAGTGCTTTCTGACCCTAAACTGTTATGGACTTTGGATTCTCTTCCATCCCCAACCTTTGTTCACATCAGGGAGATGTCTACCCTCTTCCTATTTTAAAAGGAGGCAGTTTTCTACTAGGAACTGAAATATGGAGTGGGAATTAGTCTTTGGGCTGAGGCATCAGGAGGAGAACCTGGTCCAAGCAGCAATTAGCAGCGGGCCCTGACAGCTGGAGTTAACTCTATAGCCAATAAAGAGTTAGCCCACAGACTAATTACCAGGATTTCATCCAATTAACTGTGGCCTTGACATTGTGCCAAACATTTTTTTTCTGTTTCTGGCAGTAGTGTTGGTTTTCATTTTTATAAACTGTTCTGAAATTAATTGCTACCTTCAAATTTAAGGCTTGAAAATAGATTATATGAATCATAATCCACATTAGTAGTATATTTAAGCATTATAAAAATATTTATATATTTTAAAATTTTAATTTTATCTACCAGTTTTTATTTGGTTTCATAGATAAATACTAGACTGCCTTAAAATGATCACAGATGCATTTTATGTTCATTTTACTAGAATCCGTAAGTGATTTTCAAAAATTCATTCATTGAATAGATTATAGATTTCTTTTTCTTATCAAGCAGATAATAATTTGAATGTAACTTTATTAATTGTTTTTTCCTGACATATATTGCCTCTTTATATGAGTGAATGTGATTTCAGGCTGTTAATGTATCATAGAAAATTTTTTTTTTAAGATTTTATTTTTTCCTTTTTCTCCCCAACTCCCCCCCACCCCGGTACATAATTGTATATATTCTTCATTGTGGGTCCTTGTTGTGGCATGTGGGACGCTGCCTCAGCGTGGTTTGATGAGCAGTGCCATGTCTGCGCCCAGGATTCGAACCAAGGAAACACTGGGCCGCCTGCAGTGGAGCGCGCGAACTTAACCACTCAGCCACGGGGCCAGCCCCTTTAGAAAAATATTTTTTTAAGATTAGGCAGCAGGAAAAGAAGTAGAAATTATTAGAGAAGGGGTATCACAAGACTGATAGTCGTGAGCTTGGATATTATACATTTTGTAGGCTTTTGATTTTTGAGGCTTGTTGTCTAGTTTAATCTTAAATTTGTTTTTCCTTTCACCAGGGCACCAAGATTCTGTGTTACTCATTCATCCTCAGCAAAACATGCTATTGCTGAACTGAAATTCTGGCACCTCCGTCAAGAGAAACCAAGGAAGGATGTTGACCCTTTTCCACAAATGGCAACCCTCTTGCCATTAAGACCTAAATCTTGCATTCCACAGATGTCTGAGATGCAGGTAGGATGTACATTGATACTTTGATCTCTTTTTTAAGTTGATATTAAAATATCCATGCTTGGGTTTTTGTATACTAATACTTAAGTTTCATCATAAGCTTTTTTGTTGTTGTTGTTAATGCACATGCTGCAACAATTAGGAAATAAGAAAACCTATAGTCTGTTCTCCATCAAGCAGCCAAAGTGATCCTTTAAAAATGCATGATGATGTCACTCAACTGCTCAGAGTCTTCTAGTGGCCTCCTCTCTCACTCAGAATAAAATCCAAGGTCTTTACACAGCTGTACACACCCCTGTTAACCTCCTGACCTCATTTCCTACCACTCTTCTCTAACTCAACTACACTCCCCTGCACTGGCCTCAAGCGAAAACCTGGGAGCACTGCAATTGCTGTTCCCTTCACTTGGAGCACTCTTCCTCCAGATATCCACATGTCTTTCCCCCCTCACTCACTCACTTTAGGTGTCTGCTCAAGTTTCACTTATTCAGAGAGGCTATCCTTGACTCTGCTATAGAAGCACACTTGTGTAGACTAACACAGATACCCTCCATCACTATCTAAGCCCTCTGTTCTGCTTTACTGTATTTATGGCCATGTGATTTATGTTTATTGTCTTTCACCTGCTACTAGAATATAAGGGACTTTTCTTTATTAACTGCTTATCTCCAGTGCCCAGAACAGTGCCTGGCACATAATAGTTGCTTAATAAATATAATTGGAATGACTGAGTGAGAAGTAGCAACAGCAAAATTAGAAGTAATGAGCATTCTTTCACCATGGGGAAGAATAAAATAGTACAAAAAGTTAAGGGAAAAAAGTCTAAAAAGAGAAGAAACGTTAACCAACTATAGAGAAGTAAATAACCCTACATACTTGCCATACAGTAAATGTAGCTAAGACCTGCATTTCAGAAGTAAAGAGCCTTATTAATCTCAGTAGACTTTAAAGATGTTACAGAATGTTGTGTTATTGGCCATAGTCACATACAACCCGTTCAAGAAAGATTACTTTTTCCTCAGGATCTCTAATTTTAAAAGGCAGGAAGATCTATAATAAAGTTTCTAAAGTTTTACTTCTACAAGTAGTGTTTTAGAGCTGGAGGGACTTTACGCTTGTTCTCTGTCAGTGGTTTCTTAACCCTAGATAGTTATTAGAGTCACATAGAGAGCTTTTAAAACATACCAATGCCTGGGTCCCACCTTCAGAGATTCTGATTTAATTGATCTGGAATGGGTCAGAGTCACTCTGTAAAATCAGGGGGTTGCCTTAGAACCAAGGTTCTCAACCTGCCTGAACATGAGAGTCACATTTAGAACCTACATTTTAATAAGATTCCTGGGTGATTTGTATGCGAAGCACTGCTATAGGCTGGTGGTTCTCAAGCTTCAGCATCCATAAGAGTCACCCAAAGAGCTTGTTAAAACAGATTCCTGGGCTCCACTTGAAGATCAAGATTCAGTAGATCTGGGATGTGGAGTTAGAAGATTTGCATTTCTAACAAGCTCTCTCCCAGGTGATGCTCTTGCTGCTCGTCTGGGGACCGCACTTTGAGTTAGTGTCACTTTGGTGCACTAATGGTTTATTATCCATTGTTTTGACCTTTTCTTTTCTTTTTTTTTTAATTTTAATTTTTTTTGGATGTACATCATATTTTGAATTCTGTATACATTACATCATGTTCACCACCGGAACACTAATTATAGTCCATCCCCTCACATGTGAGCCTAATTACCCTTTTGCCCTCCCCCCTCCCCCCTTCCTCAAAGGTAACCACCAGTCCAATCTCCAGTGCTATGTGGGTTTTTTTTGTCGTTTTTATCTTTTACTTATGAGTGAGATCATATGGTATTTGACTTTCTCCCTCTGACTTATTTCACTCAGCGTAATACCCTCAAGGTCCATCCATGTTGTCACAAATGACCGGATTTTGTCATTTCTTATGGCTGAGTAGTAGTCCATCGTGTATAAATACCACATCTTCTTTATCCATTCGTCCCTTGATGGGCACCTAGGTTGCTTCCATGTCTTGGCTGTTGTGTAAACCTTTTCTTTTCTTTTTTTTCTTTTTGAGGAAGATTAGCCCTGAGCTAACTGCTGCCAATCCTCCTCCTTTTGCTCAGGAAGACTGGCCCTGAGCTAACATCCATGCCCATCTTCCTCTACTTTATATGTGGGATGCTTACCACAGCATGGCGTGCCAAGCGGTGCCATGTCCCCACCTGGGATCCGAACTGGCAAACCCTGGGCCACCAAAAAGTGGAACGTGTGCACTTAACTGCTGCACCATTGGGCCAGCCCCTTGACCTTTTCTTGACCTCCTTTGCACCTCGTGGCCTTTTCGTTTGCCACTCCACTGATAAATCGAATCTTCCCCATTAGCCAATGTGACTTAGTAATCCTGTCACCAAGTTAATACACATCTTAGAGGTGTAGTGTAGGGAACACGTCATGTGATAACGTAAATATTTGTACAAAGAACTTTGTACAACATTTGAGAGTTAAGGGAGGAGACAAAGTAAGTGGCATGGATAATGAAATGAACTTGAATAAGAGATCAATGCCAAAGGAGTGGGGAGAGATTGGCTTGCATGAAAAAGTCTTATATACGTAATTATGACTTCTCATCTGTTGTCTTCCTTTGGCTTCCTGAGTGTCATTACTATATGTTGTCATTCATGTTTTCTAGTTGGATAACTCATTGTGCTCTCACTCGGTTTTTCTTTGGTAGAGAACACTCTAAGGAATGGAACTCAGTTCTGTTTTCTTTATTTTTCCTATTTTAAAATTAAGGTATAATTTATATACAGTAAAATTCACCCTTGTTAATGCACAGTTCTGTGTGAATGTTGACAAATGTGCACATTGTGTAGCCGCTGTGACAATCATGGTTGTAGAACAGTTCCTTTACATGCGCCCCACCCCCACCCCCGCCCCCACCCTCAACCGAATTCCAGTGCCCTTTTGTCAGTTTTTTTACCCATCAGTTATTTTTTGGCAACTCTTCCAGCTTTCACCCAAGCCAGAAAGCTCAAAAATTCTAACTTAGGCCTTTCTCTGTAAAATATACTTAAAATATTTTTATTTTAAGAGAACGTTTTATTGTGGTAAAAAACACCTAACATAAAAGTTACTATCTCAACTGTTTTCAAGTGTTCACTTTAGTGGTAAGGATGTTTGCATTGTTGTGAAACAGAGCTCCAGATCTTTTTATCTTGCACATTTGAAACTACATACCCATTAAACAGCTCCCCTTGCCTCCCTCTCACAGCCCCTGGTAACTACCATTCTACTTTCTGTTTCTACAAATTTGATTACTTTTGTATGATACATTTTTAATAAGCTCAGCCCCCGTGTGTGTTACCACTCATTTACTGAGTGTCGTTTAATGTCATGCTGTGTTCTGAATTACTAAAACAGATGTAAGCATTGATACTTAGGAAGTTATAGTAAAACGTACTTAAGTAATTAATTTTGGTTATGGAATTCTTAAAAATATATTAATAGTTAGGCATCTAAAGTGTATATACGATTTTATTGTTTGTTCTAGTTAATAAAACATCACAAATATATTCCTTGCTCTCCAGCAACATATGTTCTAATAGAAGTTGACATATAAGAAATGTTTATGTTTGTTTTTCAAGTTATAAAAATAATAAAACTACTGTAAATTTGGGAACTGAAGAGACAAATCACTTCTGAGCTCATGTACTTCTAGACAACTATTAATGTATTTTGTCTTAGGCTCATCGTGAATTTTTAGTTTTGATGCACTTATACTTTTGTATTCTGGTTATTTCTTTTAATATCTTCAACAACATTTTCCCGTGTGTTATAATTTTCATAATCCTTACTTTTAATTATTATATAATGCTACATTTGTGTATATCCAATTCTCAGATAATTGTTTCTTTCTCCTCCATTTGAACATTTAGGTGTTTATACTTTTTTTATTCATGCATGTAGCATCTCATATTCTGGATTTAAATAGTTAACTTTTACCAAAAAGGACATTTAAGAATGGGAATAATAACTATGAAAATAAAAATGTCCAAAAATGGAAGGAAAGTTCTGTTAAGATATAGGTCTCTATTGTGGACCAATGGTATCCTGCCTTCCTTTACGCACCCTGACACCATCTATTCCCCACCCTACCACATTCACGAGCACTAGCACTAAAACCTATTCAGTTACAGAATAAAGAAAAATTTTGCAAAGTTCTTCCTCCAGGAAAAAGTCTTCTTTCGCAATGAGTGAGTAAGGATAGACAAGCCTTCTGTCTTTCTTTCCTTATAGTCTAAATATCTGTAGGGGTTTCAGCCTGCTGGTTGCATAAAAGTGGGTGTTTGGGAAGCAGAATACTTTTAGTCTAGTGGGAAGCATAGTAGGTGGTAGAGTGAGGGAAAAAATTTTCTAGGGATCAAAACAAATTTGAGGTATATGTGCAGAGCTATGCTTTACTCTGTTGTTTTTTTTAATTGCTCATTTTTCACTTTGTTCATCTTACCACTTTTTAGAAAGAAGAATCCAGTTTATTACAATCTCCTAAATCACCTAAGAAGCCACCTAAAGTGAAAACAGCAAATCAAAGACCTTGGAAGAGCGAGTCTTTGTATCCATTTTCTTCTAAGGATGATGTGATTGAGAAAGGGTAGGTGCAGCTTTTTATGCGCCAAGTGCTTTTCTGCCCGTGGTAAGATTTTTGAAGAATTTAAAAATTAAATAGAAATTGAAAACTAATACTCTGATTTTTTTTAAATGAGTTCTTCTATTTCAGTGATATGTATTAGAGGATTATATTTCCTATGCATACTCTAAATTAGTGTTAGAACTCCTGAGATTAGTAATTTTAGAGAAGTGGTGCCTTTGATCTCCAGCTTCTCATGAGCTGTGCCATCAAAAGACTTCTCTGAAATTACCCTCCACTTCTTACTTGGCCCTGTTCAATAATTCAGTATTTCTCAAATTTGAGATTTGAGAACTCATGATACTCTCAAGAATATTGTTATTAGTTAATATATTACTTTATTCATTTAGATTTGCCCGTTTATTTACCCTTTTCATTGTTCTTTTTTTCAAATGGGATTATTTTGCTTCAGCCTGAAAAAATATACTTTTGTATTAACTTTGGTGTAGGGTCTGCTGGTAAATAATTCTTTGCTTAATAATTTATTACTTCGCTTTCCTTCTTTTTTTATTGAGATAAAATTCACACAATATGAAATTCACCATTTTTTATTTATTACTTTTGATTTTTTGATTGTTGTAGGCTGTTTCTAGATCAGCCTGAGGTGTGAACTTACAACCTTCTCAGGTCTTTTCTAGCATGTGCCTTTCCCTGGGTATGTGTGGTCATTTTCTAATTTTTCCCTGTATATGTAATTCTTTTGAATTCCTAGCCTTTAATGTCTGGGTTCTAAAAGCAGGGGGGGGGGGGGGGGAATGAAGGGAGGGCTAAAAAGGGCACTTCTCTTTAAATTCCCTGGAAATCACTCAGGCTGAGGGAGACCGGTGCAACAAGATGGGGAGGTGCTACAACAATAGCCACCTGCCTCTTTGTTTGCACCTCTGTGATCTGAAGCAGCCATCAGAGATCAGAGCACAGATCCCTGATATTTGGAGAACAAGGTCCTTTTTGCTCACCCCGGTTCTCGCATGCTGTGTGCAAAATGCTCCTGGAACACATACCCGCTGTCTGCCACTGCACTAGGGGTGGGGGATGGGTAGCTGCTACTGTGCTAAGAGTTCTAATTGACCAAAATTAACCACAATTTACTGTCCAAGGCTTCCCCTGAAGCTGAAAGCCTTAAGTAGACTCCAGAGTTCCGTAACAGTTACACCGGGTTCTGCCGCTGCAATTGTTGTCTAGGTGGGGAGACAGGTTCCTGGTACTTCCTCCTCTGACATCTCCCCAGGATCCTCACCTCTGGGAATTTTTATCCTCTGAGTTTTGCCCCAATAATTCTTGTAACTACATTGTTAGCACTTTATTCCTTCTAGCAGATTAATTTTTTTTTGCTTACCTACTTGTCTTCAGTGGAAGAGTTCGTCTAAATCACCTTGTCTGCCATTTCCAAAAGTAGCAGTTAATGAGCTTTAGTGTAGATATTTGCTTGCATTTTATCAGTTCTTACTGCATCCCCATGAAGAAGGCATTATTCTGAGTTTTCAGGTGATGAAAGAAATGAAAAGACATATAGGTATGAGTTGAGAGAAAAGTTGAATTTTTAAAACTACACCAGGTTTTCATGTTTATGTTATGGCTAGAGTATAGTGTATTACAGTGAAAAGGCAAGATACAGGCTAAAACATTATGAGGTTCAGATAGTAAAATTTTTTGTGTCACATTATGGTGTTTGGAGATTATTCGCTATGCAGTAGAGAACATCTAGAGAGTTTTTTGTGTTATTTATTAAAATTATTTTCAAAATTGGAAATATACATATAGTTCAAAAATAGTGGCATGCTATGAACTTATTCTGTCCCTTTTTTTAATATGTCTTAGATTTTTCATAGCAGTAATGTACTATAGTAATAGATACACAATAATCTATTTTTTCTGTTGTTTCTTGTTGTCTTGTCTCCTCTTATATCTGATTGTCTTTCATTTTATACCAAACATATTTGTACTCTATTGAGGGACATGGATATTATTTCCAATATTTTTTGTTATTACAAACAATGTTGCAGTGGATATTCTTGTCCATTTGCTATATTTTACGTGTATGCACATCTGCAGGATAAATTCCTAGAAGTAAAATTTCTGAGTCAAAGTTCATGTGCTTTTTAAGTTTTGCTAGATATTATCAGATTGCATTTCATAGGAGTTGTAACGATTTATACTGCTTTCAGCGTGTGTGACAGTGTGTGTTTTACAATACCATCAACAACACACTATGTTTAAGAATTATGTTTCTATGATTTTCTGTGAACTTATCTTCAGAAGGAGGAAAGGCAGGATTAGAGGAGGCAGATAAGTTCAGTTTGGGGCACTGCCTAGGCGAGTGCTCCAGTGTCTAGATAGTGTCTCGCACACAGAATGTGTTCAATTAATATTTGTTGAATGAATGAAGATAGATCCTAAGGTACATTTGAACGAAGAGATAAAACTATGTGGGATCTATGTTTCTCCACATCCTTGACTACACAAATTTTATGTTAAGTGAATTACATCTTAATTTTTAAAACTATAATAAATTATAAAACTATAATAAATTATGTGTAAAATTAAGATAATAACTACGTTGGGATATACATATCCAAAAAAGTTGAATATAAATCTGGAGCCCAGAAGAGAAATCAACTATGAGTAAAAAATTAGAATGAGCTGTGAAGTATCCCCTCCTCTTCTAATTTTGGAAGAATTTGGTGCCATTTGGTAGAATTCATCCGTGAAGCCATTTGAACCTAGCCTTTTCTTTTTTTTTTTTTTTTAAAGATTTTATTCTTTTCCTTTTTCTCCCCAAAGCCCCCCAGTACATAGTTGTGTATTCTTCGGTGTGGGTTCTTCTAGTTGTGGCATGTGGGACGCTGCCTCAGCGTGGTCTGATGAGCAGTGCCATGTCCGCGCCCAGGACTCGAACCAACGAAACACTGGGCCGCCTGCAGCGGAGCGCGCGAACTTAACCACTCGGCCACGGGGCCAGCCCCCAAACCTAGCCTTTTCTTTGTGGAAAGATTTTAAATTATTGATTTAGTTTCTTGTTATAGGTCTATACATTTTTGGTAATTTGTGTCTTTCCAGGAATTTGTTGATGTCATCTAATTATCTAATTTATTACCGTACAGTTGTACATAGTATTCCTTCATAATTCTTTCAATTTCTGTAAAGTTAGTAGTGATGTTTCCTTTTTATTCCTGATTTAAGTAATTTGTGCCCTCTATTTGGGAAGAAAAAGCAGAAAAAAAACCACAACACTTTCATCTGCAAATAACAGGAAACTTGACTAACAATGGCTTAGGCAAATTGAACTTATTTTTCTCACAGAACAAGAAATATGAGGGTAGGCAAATACCAGAATTGGTTTACCGGATCAGAAGTATTAGGCCTAAATCTTTGTAGTACTCTTGACCATTCCTTCCTAGTCAGTGGTATTACAGCTCCTGACATCAGGCTTTCAAATCATAAAGAAGGAGGAAAGGTGATTTTCATTAATCCGCTCCCTTTGGTCAGGAAAGCAAGCTTTCTTAGAATCTCCCCGTCAGACTTCATTTTATATCTTATTAGTCACAACTATGTCATGTGACTATCCCTCTCTGCAAGAGAGTCTTGCAAAGTGAATATTTAGCTTTGTCAGTATCTCAGTGGTGTTGGTTAAAGAAGCATGTCACTAGGAATGGGTGTTGAGTTAGCCAATCAATCAACAGTGTCTGCTTCATGGGGGAGTGGAAACTGAAGCATGTTGTACCTACATTTTCTCTAAGAAGAACTTGCAAAGTAATCTCCTGGTGGATTGGAGTGGAGAGAGATTGGTGAGGTGGAACAGGCGTGTTTTATGGACCTGGAAAATAAGGTTTGAGTAATTGCAGTGGGTTATGGGAAAGGGAGCTGGATAGGAAAATATAAAAAGATAGTGTCCAAAGTTGTTAGTCTAACTCCAAAGTGTTTCGTTATCTCACCCCAAACTACCATACATAAATCCTTGTGAATCCTACCTGTTGTGAGGATTAAATATGATAATATGAATTATATTTAGTATAGTGTTTAGTATGTAGTATGTAAGGATTAAATATGATAATATGAATTATATTTAGTATAGTGTTTAGTATGTAGTATGTAGTGTTCACTGTTAGTGTCCTCTTGCCCTAAGCAAATTAATTAATTTGCTACCTTTAAAACAAGACTTTCCCTACCCACCTTCATATATTGCTTACTATTCACACTATTCTCCCCATCTAAAGAACCCTTATAAACAAACACCCCCCCCCCCGCATATATACACAAAAATACCTCATATTCATTTTTCAGGAAAGATCTCCTTTATTTAGTTACTAATATAGCTTAAAGGGACTTCTCATTCTTACACTCCCATAGTATTTATTATTCATCCCAGTCATTTGGTATCTGTAATATATTCTTGAATTCATTCAAGCAGCACATATTTTATTGAGAGTTATCTTTCTGTAGGACTGTACTTATTTTTCTCAACTACCTCTTGAGGGCTAGACCTGATGCTCATACGTTTTTTTTCTGATTCTCTCATATCCTCAGAAGCACTCTTAATATTTGATGCCATGTATACCAAAGATGCTCAAAATATGTTTGTTGATCAGTTAGTTCTCATCTCTATAATTTAGGTCAAGGCAGAGGTCAGAAAGCAGCAAAGTTATTCGTTTAACATCTTTTGCTGACATTTCTGAATGTTTGAAGCCCCAGCTGGATAGAAAATATACAGAAGAACCTTTGGTAAGTATTTTGAGAAATGATTCATCTGATTCCTCATTTAATTAATCAATGTCCCCTGATTTTAGAGAATTTTTATTGATTTAGCATTATATTTTCTTCTAAATATAAAACTAAACACCACATTTTATTTTTTCTTTGCAAAAGGAATTTTACCCAAAAAATTAATCTGTGTTTCCTTTTGAAGTGCTATGTTGCTATATACTCCATTGATTACTGTTTTCAAAAACAGCTGTGTTCTGATTTGGTATAATGACACTTCAGACACAAAATAAGACCCTCTAGGATTTTTATTAAATTTTTAACGTTTTTGATTTAAAAAAATAGTGTTTGATGTCATGTTTGAGAAGCTTAGAATTTTTATAAAGCAGAGTATTTCCAGAGTGTGGTACCTTAATAATGTGGATTTCATACACCAGTTCTGGATGACATTTTGTATTCCCTAAGGATTATACTTTGGGTAGAAACCTTGGTAGTCCCAATATAGTCTGAACACTTAAATGTGAGGGTGTATAACAATTTATTTTATTCTAAGCACACAGTTCTTCTTTTCTTCTAATTAGGATTTTTTTCCTACCAAAATAAAGATTTTTTAGTTTTGGAATGCCAATAGTTAAATACAATAAAAAGATTATATTCTCACCTCAGGATTTGTTTAGTTGTGGATAAAAAGAGTGGCAGAGAGACACTGTAACATACACAGAGCAAAAAGCTTACTTAGACTCTAAATTGTTCATGCCACAATTATCTTAAGATTATAAGGAAGACTGAGTTCCACACAACAAATAGCAAAGAGTTCATGTGAATAGTGGATCCCCTTTCATATTCTAAAGTCACTCTTGTGCTTGGAAAAATAGCCAGCTTTCTGTGTTTCAAGCACAGTATTAGAGTTGCCAGCATTGTTGGCAGAGAAACCCATAAATAGCAAGTTTTATGAGAACTTATACTGCCATTTACAGTCTAAAGGCCATGACCTGTGTGGGGTGAGACTGTCCAAAGAGGGACCCCCTACGGACAGTTAATGAGCAGCACTGAGAGGCCTTGAAGATAGTTCTTTTTATAACTCTCTTGTAGCTATTATAGCAGCACCTCAAGGCTAAAATAACAGTAAACATGTAGGAAAGAGGCCACCAACAGAGATTTGGAAGACTCCTAAAATGGTATCACTGTGTCTGCAACATGAAAATAATTGAGGTTTAACATTTTTTTAAATCAGATTGGTTTATACTGGAATGAACTCTGCTGCAATAGTTGGCTCCATAAATTAATCTATATGACAGTCATATGCAAACATGCTGCATTAATTACATATTTGATACAAAAGAAAATGAAATAGTCCAGTGGGAGAATGACAGAATTTATGAACCCTGTTGTACAATGTTGTAAAAAAATTACAGTGTTTCTGGGTGGGTAATGGACTTCTGTTTTGCTATCTAGGTTAAAACCATGGCAGATGGTGCCTTGGGAGGATTTGACATGGAAAATTTGTTGCAATCTCTTTATGTAGAAAATAGAGCTGGCTTTTTCTTTACTAAATTCTGTGAGCATTCAGGAAACAAGGTAGAAAATAATTGTTTTAAATATAATTTTATACTTTTAACTTCATTTTAAAATGAGAGGTTGAAATAATTCAGTGCTCAAATAATTATATTTGATGTTAAAATTCCCATCTCCTCTAGTAAGAAATTTCATACTAAATATTTAGTAAGAATCTAAACATCTCAATTATAATTATCTTTGGTTCATTATCCTACTAAAATTACAAGTAAATAGACAAGGATTGACTTGCATTATTAACAATAGTTTATTATCATATAATTTTGTTTCAATGTAATATATAGTAAATTCAGAGTTGATTTCTATCAATCCTTTAATTTTTATTTTTAATAATTCTAATGATTATGAATTACAATTGATAGTGGCAAGCTTATTTCCAGTTTGTTTGTTTTTTTAATTACAAACAGTCTTCATTTTGCTCAAATGAAAAGTATTTCACTGGCTCAGTTATTACAGTAGTGTTTATTTCTGGTATGGTGTACATTTGCCCATATATATCAAAATACCTCCAGATTTTGGTTTCATACTAGAAATATGTGATTCCTCTTTAATTGTTAACCAGAACACTTGCTGTTTTAATGACCAATTATGTGAGAGGCATACATGCAAAAATGTAATGTTCTAGTGACAATACCAATAAATATTTTCTATGTTGCCAGTTTGTGATAGGAGATAAAACTGCCTTAAACTGAGCCTGATTTATGGTAACACCAAGGAGCTAAACAATTATTTATATTTGAAATTAGAGCTTTGTAGAGCTTTAGTAATTGGGTGGTAATAGTTTATGTACTTTTTCCATCTGCAGTTGTGGAAGAACAGTGTGTACTTTTGGTTTGACCTACAGGCTTATCATCAGCTTTTCTACCAAGAAACGCTTCACCCTTTTAAAGTATGCAAGCAAGCCCAAGTAAGTGGTAAATAACGTTGGTTCAATGTGAAGCTCTAAGTACACAGAGAAGTGAACAGTTGTGTTCAGCCCCAAATAAGAGAAATCTGGGAGTGGAGGCAAAAAGGCAGCAGTTAAATTGTTGCCATGGGATTACTTTATTTAAATAATGTCAGCAGAATATTGTTTTATAATCTGATTTGTGTATTCTCAGTTTTATCTATTTTATTTGGTTTGCTTTGTTTTCTCTTTGCTACCAATTACTTGTTTTTTTTTCACTTGTTCTTCCAATAAAGGACATCCTGTCTTTTTTCTAATCTGTGCATTTTTGGTTTGGTTGTGAATGACTTAAGAGGGAACCCTAAGAGAGGACGTGTAATGAATCGTTGAAGTGATTGGGAGCAGAGGCATTGACCAAAGCTGTTCTCCGAGCTTTCTGCAGAAATCAATTGTTGGGTATACTTAGGCTGTTGACCTGTTGAAGGGGCGGGAAAGGATGTTGACTGACTGTGTGTGGTGTAGGCCCTGTGTCATCGCCTGGTCTTCTGTGCTACACACCATTTAAGACAGATTCTCAGAAGTGGAGAAAAGAACATCTGAAGACCACCCTGAAGCAAAATAAAGGAAGAAGAAAAAAAAGCAATATAGGAGGAAGAACAGAGGATTCTCTGCTAAGGGAGACAGAGAAAGTGGCCTGTTTTTGTCGGGAGAAGGAAAGAGAATAGAATTATGACTCAAACTGACTTATCTTTTCAATTTTTTATTCTGAGGATCTTTTATGGCGAGAAGTCTTCAAGCCTAGAAATCTGCTAATCGCTTCTATATCTGTTGACCACTTATGTGGTTCTTATAATCTGGAATAACCCCATTCCAGAGACCCTCTCCCTAACCAATGTGGAGGAGATTAGCTTTGTCATATTATTTATTATCTTATTATAATCTTATTCAGGACATCAGAGAGTACTGCTGGATTTTTATTGTTACTTCCACCACCCTGACTCTGGCATTAATAACTACGCTTTGTAAATCAGCTGACAGAGCTTTGTACTTTTTACCGTGAGAATAAAGGCTTCAGCTCCTACATAGCCCCGATCTGGCTCCATGAAATCATATGTCTAATTTGCAAGTACCATTTTCTGAGACCACACAGTTGGCTCTTCTGCTTGTTAATCCTTAACCTGTTAGTCTCTACTTATCCTCCTCCCCCTAACCTATTGGCCCTGTCTGCTAAAGTACCATCTGTTATTTTTATTATGTTTTCACTACTACACAGTGTACTCCTCCAAAAATCTTCAGCTGCTCAATTACATGGGCTTTTTTTCTTCTTGTAATCACCATATTTTCATGCACTTGTAAAAGCAGAGATTGTGTTTGAGCTTGGTAGACTTATGCGTTCTCAGTAATGATGTTATTCAGCCAGCTATAAATGATTATGAAACAGGATGCAGTCAAGTTTTGGTTATTCTGAGATCGATGATTCTGTTTTGGGATTATCAAGGCCCATAAACTTTTTATTCTCCTCTTGGTTCTCTTTTGGTGAGTCAAAGCAGAGTAGGGCTCTGGGAGCAATGGAGACATTTGCTTTTAGGTGAATAGGGGGAAATCAGAGGAGCAAATCATGTGATTTTGTTTTACTTGTTTGCTTTTTGCACCTTTGGTTGCTTTATTTTATTTTTTGGTTAGTGGAGCATCTGTCTAAATTGGTTTAGGTTTTAATTATCTAAGATTTCTGTGCCTCCAGATATAAGAATTGCCTCTAATACCATAATCCTACAGATTTATTTTGCAGTATGAAATGCCATTCATTTCTTTATAATGGAAATGCTGTATGTCTTTCTTCAAAGGTACATTTACAATACAGATCCTTTGATTCATAATGCCAATGGCAGAATATAATCAGCTGGCACTATGTTAAAATTGCTATGAACTTGATTTTATATTGTTTTTATATATCCACCACGCTGTATGGTAGGAGATCAAGAGTTGATTCCAAGAGACTTATATGCTTTCCTGTATGCTAGTAGGCAAATTACATACCTGGAACTTTTATTGCCTCGTGAAGTATTACAGAAATATCTATAGGCAGAGTAGATGTTGGGTTAGTGACAATGATTTAGCATGACTAACTATGGTCCAAGAGTTTGAACTACAGTCTGGGCATGCCCTGAAGATTTCACTGCATGCCTTCCAGATCGAATAGTGCACAGGTAGAAACCAGTTGAAATGGTTTTGGAAGGAGAAAAGGGATCACCACCATAGTGCAGAAATAGTCTTTGACTCTAACAACAGCTTTCCACGGGAGCATCTATCACTGCTAAGATTTAGAGCCTAGATTGCTCACACATAGTCGTACAGCTTTTTTTTTTTCTTGAGATCACATTGGTTTATAACATCGTGTAATTTCAGGTGTACGTTATTATCTATCAGTTTCTGTATAGACTGCATGGTGCTCACCACCAATAGTCTAGTTTTTATCCGTTACCATACATTTGTGCCATTTTACTCCTTTTGCCCACCCCCCACCCCCTTCCCCTCTGGTAACCAGTAATCTGTTCTCCTTATCCAGGTGTTTATCTTCTACGTTTGAGTGAAATCATACAGTATTTGTCTTTCTCTGGCTTCTTTTGCTTAACATAATACCCTGAAGGTCCATCCATGTTGTTGCAAATCGGACAATTTTGTCTTTTTTATGGCTGAGTAGTATTCCATTGTTTATATATACCACATCTTCTTTATCCGTTAATCAGTTGATGGGCATTGGGGTTGCTTCCACGTCTTGGCTATTGTGAATAATGCTGCAGTGAACATGAGGGTGCATAAATCTCTTTGTATTGTTGGTTTCATGTTGTTTGGAAAAATACCCAGTAGTGGGATAGCTGTATCATATGGTATTGCTATTTTTAACTTTTTGAGAAATCTCTTTACTGTTTTCTATAGTGGCTGCACCAGTTTGCATTCCCAACAGCAGTGTATGAGGGTTCCCTTTTCTCCACATCATCTCCAACACTTATTTTTTGTCTTGTTAATTATAGCCATTCTGATAGGTATAAGTTGATATCTCATTGTAGTTTTAATTTGCATTTCCCTAATAAGTGATATTGAACATCTTTTCATGTGCCTGTTGGCCATCTCTGTCTCTTCTTTGGAAAAATGTTGTTCAGATCCTCTGCCCAGTTTTTGATCAGGTTGTTTATTTTTTTGTTGTTGAGTTGTATGAGTTCTTTATATATTTTGGAAATTAACTCCTTGTCAGACATATGATTTGCAAATATTTTCTCCCAGTTGGTGGGTTGTCTTTTCATTTTGTTCGTGGTTTCCTTTGCCTTGCAGAAGCTTTGTAGTCTGATGTAGTCCCATTTGTTTGTATTTTTTTTGTTTCCCTCACCTGAGTAGACATGGTATTTGAAAAGATACTGCTAAGACTGATACCAAGGAGTGTACTGCCTGTATTTTCTTCTAGGAGTTTTATGGTTTCAGATCTTACATTAAAGTCTGTCATCCATTTTGAGTTAATTTTTGTGAAGGGTGTAAGATAATGGTCTACTTTCATTCTTTTGCACATGGCTGTCCAGTTTTCCCAACACCATTTGTTGAAGAGACTTTCCTTTCTCCGTGGTATGTTCTTGGCTCCTTTGTTGAAGATTAGCTGTCCATAGATGTGTGGTTTTATATCTGGGCTTTCAGTTCTGTTCTATTGATCTGTATGTCTGTTTTTGTGTCAGTACCATGCTGTTTTGATTACTGTAGCTTTGTAGTATATTTTGAAGTGAGGGATTGTGATGCTCCAGCTTTGTTCTTTTTTCTCAGGAGTGCTTTGGCTATTGGGGTCTTTTGTTGTTCCACGTACATTTTAGGATTCTTTGTTCTATTTCAATGAAGAATGTCATGGGGATTCTGACTGGGATTGCATTGAATCTGTAGATTGCTTTAGGTAATATGGACATTTTAACTGTCTTTATTCTTCAAATCCATGAGTATGCAATATCTTTTCTTTATGTCTTCTTTGATTTCTTTCAATAATCTCTTATAGTTTTCAGTGTATAGATCTTTCACCTCCTTGGCTAAATTTATTTCTAGATATTTTATATTTTTTGTTGCACTTGTAAATGGGATTGTATTCTTGACTTCTCTTCTGCTAGTTCGTTGTTAGTGTATAGAAATGCAACTGATTTTTGTATGTTGATTTTGTACCCTGCAACTTTACTGTATTTGTTGATTATTTGTAATAGTTTTTTGGTGGATTCTTTAGGGTTTTCTATATATAGAATCATGCCATCTGCAAATAGTAACAGTTTTACTTCTTCCTTTCCTATTTGGATCCCTTTTCTTTCTTTCTTTCTTTTTTTTTTTTTTTTGAGGAAGATTAGCCCTGATCTAACATCTGCTGCCAATCCTCCTCTTTTTGCTGCAGAAGACTGGGCCTGTGCCCATCTTCCTCTACTTTATATGTGGGACGCCTGCCACAGCATGGCTTGACAAGCAGTCAGTAGGTCTGGACCCAGGATCCAAACTGTCAAATCCTGGGCAGCCCAAGTGGAACATGCGATCTTAACCACTGCCCACCAAGCTGGCCCCCGGATCCCTTTTATTTCTTTTTCTTGCCATTTGCTCTGGCTAAAACCTCCAGTACTATGTGAGAGTGGGCTTCCTTGTCTTGTTCTTGTTCTTGGAGGAATAGCTATCAGTTTTTCACTATTGAGTGTGATGTTGGCTGTGGGTTTGTCATATCTGACCTTCATTATGTTGAGCTACTTTCCTTCTGTATCCATTTTACTGAGAGTTTTTATCATAAGTGGATGTTGGATCCTGTCAGATGCTTCCTCTGCATCTGCTAAGATTATCATGTGATTTTTAGTCTTTATTTTGTTAATGTAGTGTGCCACATTGATTGATTTCAAGATGTTGAACCATCCCCTCATCCCTGGAATAAATCCCACTTGATTGTGGTGTATGATCCTTTTAATGTATTGTCACAGTTGATTTGCCAGTATGTTGTTGAAGACTTTTGCTTCTATGTTCAT